TTATGAGTCAATCGATGGGATGGCAGTAAGCTTGAGCACTGAATACTGAGCTATATAGCAGGACTGTTCTAGATCCAAGGAGCCCTGCTGGCCTCGTGGGATGTGCACCGTGCTGTTGAATGAAAGGTCAGCCCCTTGAATCCACCAGCTGCTCTGCAGGAGAAAAATGAGACTTTGTTTCCATAAAGATTTACAGCCTCAGGAACCCAAAGGGGCAGCTCAACTCTGGCCTTTAGGGTCACTATGAGTCAGAATCAGCAGCAGATTTTGGTTCTAAATACTGAGGGTGCATCTGTGAGCAAGCAGAAACAAAGAAAGATGTTTTGTCCTTCCCAGACTATGGGTAGTTGAATGCCATTAGCTGGCTCATATTATTCTCTGGTATTATATGCTTTCTAGGTAGGTAGCTTGAATTAATAGCTTATCTACATTTTAATCTCTCTGCAGGCAAGTGTTGAGTCTTCTGTCTTTATATCTTCTGTAATGTTTGGCATAGTACTACCTGTTACATCAATAGCTTATCACTGGAGTATATGACATGTAAATTAAGTCATCACCCCATTTTACACCTTGCTTTATTGAACTCACAGAAGAACCAGCTGGGAAATCTAAACCTGAGATTTTCTCATAACCATGCTTATTGCTATTTGGATGATAATCAAAGCAACTAATCCCAGATAGGCTATTCAGATCCGAAAGGTAGATCAATTTCCTTTGTGGGAAAGAGGCATTAGGGATGGGCAGCTGGGAGGAAGGATGGAGAAGGAGAGAGATGCTAAAAGACAGTCCTGCTAAGTTCTGTGGACAGGAAATGCTGTAGAAAGAAGGCTAGTGCCAAAAACTTTGGGTTGTTGTGACTGCTGCTTCTAGTATGTGTTTTAGCCAAATTTTCAAGAAAAACTGACTGTGAGGAATAAGTACTGAGACAGTTATGGGAAGAATACTTGTAGTTTGGTGGAATGACAAGGAGGCCTTAGAAGAAGATAAGTATGGGCCACTTGGCTAGGCCAGAAGGTAGAATTACAGTGGTGCCTGGGAGAAAGGCTATGATTCTGAATTTTCATGCCCATGCAGGTAACTCTGCCCTCTAAACACCCGGATGCTATACCCCACCTAGAGTACATCAACATGTGTTAACACTTTGTGTTCTAGTCGTTCTCAGGGCAAATCTGCTTGGGATTGGAATAAATATGCATTTATAGTGACAGGAAAGCATTTGAGACATTTTCCTGGTTGTCAGCATCACAGCTATTGATTCACATTAAAGGTGCCTATTTGTCTTCATAACAAACCAACCTCTCAAATCTACCCGCCACCACGCATTTTGAGAAATTTGATATTTCTTAAATATCACATGAACATGGGATTTCTGTGCGAGACACA